TCAAAGCCACACATCATGGCTGGTCTCACAACCGTTCTGTAAACCTTTCCCACTACCTTATGTATATATTATATATAGTATATAATATATACCGTATTTTTCCGACCATAAGGCGCACCGCATTATAATGCGCAATATCAATGAACGGGTCTGTTTTCATACATAGGCGCACCGTGTTATAAGGCGCATTAAGCGAAACAAAAGAATTAAGCGGAACAATCAAGCATGCCCGGATCCCTCTCGTCATTATCCAAATCAGTCTTGTTGCTGTTAATTAGTTGTTCAGTGATGATTCCAGCCTTCGTGAAAGCTCGGACGACATTTGAGACTGATACCTTAGCCCAGGCATCCACGATCCATTGGCAGATAGTGGAGGCACGACTCGATGTTGCACGGATTTGGGTGATACAACCATACTGTAATAATTGTTGTTGAGCATCTTCTAATTGTGATAACAGAGTTAAAGTTTAACTGTGTGCACTACCCAGTGTGCATCAGTTGTGTTCCATCATGTGTGATGCGCTGTGTGGTTTGGCTTTATCGGTTCGAGCTCAGTAAGCACAACCAAAAGAAAAGTTAAGGTTTTAAGTGCACCTTATAGCACGGATATATGGTATATATTATATATAAAGTATATTATATATTATATATATATATATATATATAATAGGTTATTAATATATAATATGATACAGCAAGTTACATATCTTTTTTTACTCTAAATGTACCAAATTATCTAATTAAAAAATAAAAACTGTTATATATAATGCACGAAATACAATAAAATGACGTTACATGACCTTATATACCTGCTGTATCAAATTTGATACGTCATTTTCAACACGGTTTTACTAAAACATAGTGTGGGGGCGCTGCGGAGGTTAGTGCTCAGCTGCAGCAGGGAGAGCACGGGAGTGCAACGAGGGTGCAGCCCTGCACGCAGGTGAGCGCAATTTGTGTAATCAAACCTCTCCCTATATTAGTAGGAGCCGGGACCAAGGAGGGAGAGGGGTGGACAGAGAAGTTGGCTCAGCGACGACACAAAGCGCAGCGGAAAAGACAAGCACAGCAAGCGCAGGATCGCATCATATCAAAGTCAAACTCAAATAAAGTCTATTGAACCGTCATCTGTGTCAGCGTGTGTGTTAAGGAAGAACTCACATACTACACATAGATTATGAAATATTAAGTATTTTCACATTGCATCAACCCAGTAACTATTCCTATTGATTTTTCAATAAAATTTTAATGTTTTTCTTCTCTTTACCTTTTCAAACTTGTTCAAAAACCACCTGTGACCAAATCCTGAGTCATGGCAAACTTGTACTGTCACTGGAAGGCCCGTTAATGACTGAATAACTATCCCCTGTTGAATTATCTGTGCACTGCATGTATCTGATTGTATACGTCTGGTTTTTCAGGGAAAAAAATATCACACTGCTCATGTGGAGGGCTGTAAAATTCATGTATCAAATATGATAAGTTTGGCGTTATAGGGTTAAAGAAAAAAAACTGTAAAAATGGATGTATGAAGAAACTGTTACACAAAAAAAATCAATGGTGGTACTTCTATTAGTTGGTAGATTAGTGTGTGCATCTGTGTTTGTGTTTCTGTATATCCGTGCTCATTAGCGTGTGTCAATGCTGCCATGTGACTGCACATGCAGGGATAGTGCAAGGTTCTGCAGCATGCATGTGTGCCGATGTTTTAATTGGACTAAAGCAGTGAAGTGAAGCAGTAAGTCATTGAGAAGGGAGCAGAGGGAGGGGAGAACAGGGAAAACAAGGGGGAGGGGAGTCAAGGGGAAAAGCAGAAAAGAAAATGAAAACGAGATAGTGGAAAGGAGGAAGGGGAAGAAGGGGTGAGGGGATTGGGGGAAGTGTGCACATGGGTGTGGATGCTGTGGGAGACAGCAAAAGGAGGGAAGCAAGGGCAGTCCTAGAGGGAGAGTGTGGAAGGCAGGATTGTGAGAAGGCTTGGGGGGCGGGGGGTAGGTGTGGGGGTGACTCATTGTGTATATGAGTCATCCCTCCTGGATCCCTTGGGGTGGCAGTGGTGTTTGGGGGGGCAAAGGGGAGATTCGAAATGAGCCCCTGGCATCTCCACCCCGCCAGTGGACTAGGCCCCAGTCATTAAACCCCTGGCTGCCAGCCAACTCTTTTGACACAGGCAAGGGCCTTTTATGGCATGTCTGTAGAAAATAAATCACACTGTGTGAATAATATATCTCTGGCAAAGGCATTGGCAGGGGAGGAGGAAGTGAGGGAGAGGGGGGAGAGGTAGAGAGAGAGAGAGATTGGTGAATTGTAGTCAGCTCCATTCATGCATTACGTTCTCTCTATCCCCCAGACAGATATGCTCAGAGACAGCAGAACACAAAATGTACCAAAATGTTCACAAAACACTGATTTGGTGCAAAAACCTTGGGTTTCCTTTTTTTTTTTTTGTTCTGGATAATATAGTGGATAACAACTTTATTAACTACAATTGATGAGTCTGGCAGGTAAAAAGAAAACCCATTAACACTTTGTTTTCATTCTCCGTTTTTTTTCCACTTACTAAGCGAACCTACTACACCCTCCAAATGTGTTGTCACATTCTGCTACTAAGTAACATTTTAATTGACACCTTTTATTCAAATGAAGAATTTTTGCAGGTTGAGTTTTTACCCATTCTTGTGTGGGAACACCTTGACAGAACCGTGAGACTCACACGCTATTTATACAGAACGCCAGGCATTGTCCCGCTGAGACATAAACTGCACTTTTTAAACATGTCAAATATCTATTGTTTTTTTTTTTATCTCTTCTGTTTGGTGGACATCGCTTCTGGTTTTGGTTTTATCTCCTTATCCAAGACGGTCCTCTCCCTGTTTTACAATAAATGTCTGTTTGGCTACTGTATCGGAAAATCAAGTTCTGTTAATGATGACCAAAAACTTTCTGCTTGTGGTTACAGTAATTAGCTTTCAACAGGTGAGGGCATGACCAAAAATAATTGAGAACCATTGCCTTAAGTACACTGTTAATGTAAAAAAAATGCAACAGGTGCTGGTCCATTTTGGACAAACACCAATTGTTTTCCACATCATCCAAATATGCAGTGTTTTATCATGCTGCTATTCAGGAAAAAAAAAACACCTAACACCTAATTTCCTGCTGTCATGGTTGAAGGGAAGAGATAAACCTGTAAATACAAAGGGTTAAAATGTTAGAGGTTCTTACTAGTAAGGGGGGGACTGGAGCACTGGTTCATCTGCCCTGGCTCCTGCCTAGTAGTTTGGAATGACATCAAGCCTTGATCTCCAAACACAGCAAGCCTCATTTTCCTGCCTCTTCCACTACACTCGTCCTCTAGTGACCCCAGAAAGGGATCTGGAGCTGACTCCAACTGCTGTGATTGGCTAGCATAGCCACTCATGAAGCTGTTTATAGGCTGTCCAGTTTGTCTTGTGTGTAACTGGCTGTCAGAGAGAGAGTGTGGGGACAGCTGGTCTGGCTCAAACATCCCTATGCTGGATCCTAGGCTTGAGCCTCTTCCAATGCCTCTTTGCTTCTCTAGATGTTTTGAAGGGCCCTGACTGGACAATTCCCTCCTGTTGCTCAACATACTGTGATGAGCAGTGGTCTTGGCCCCACTGAAGAGCCCACCCAAGTCCTTTCTGTCCAGTGGTGAAAGGAGAGGTTCATCTTTGTGCTTGTGTTTGTGCCTATGCTTCCTCTTATGGAGGCGTACCCCTGCAATCCCACCTACACTGCTCATTGAGCCAAGGCCCTCTCCTCTTACAGAGGGTCCCTGGAGTGATCCACTAGCAGTCCGAAGCTTTGGCCCTGCCTGGAGCTTGGAGTGTCCACTGGAGTGGAAAGATTTGGGAGGAGGGACAGCTGGCCTCATGAAGGGAGATGGAGGTGTAGGTCCTAGGGGGTGGTGGGGCAGGTAAAATGGAGGAACAGGAGGGAAGAAGCCCAGACTCAGTGGAGATGCATAAGGCATTGCATATGGTGCTGTATAGAAATTTCCTCCTGCCAGTGGATAACTAAATCCTTGAACAAAAGGCAGCTTCGATGTTATTGGCTCGTTGGCTTTGGCTGGACGACCACGTCTCCTCTTAGCTTTTAGCTCGGCACTCCTGCGTAGGTATGAGCCAGAGTTACAAGCATAGGAGTCATAGGTAACTGGGTAGTAATGGTGGAAGTTGAGGCGGAAAATGGAGGGATATAGGTGCTGGGGGTAACATGCTGGTCGTCTGTGGGACACTCGTAGCTGCTTGAACTTCACAACGACCTAGAGTGAAGTTAGAGAGAGGAAATGTTAAGGCAAAGGTTACTCAGTTGATCTCTAAAATTTCTTGTACTGTTTCTTACCTCTTCAAACTCAACAAGAAAGTGGAGATGATCCCGTGTCTGTAGGCACTTCCTCTTCCGCCGATGATGCTTTTGTCTTTTCTCCAGTGACAACAAGTTGTCAACTGCAGTGACCTGTCGTTCACAGCGGGCTTTGCTCCTGTTCAACGTGTCCAGAGGCGCTGCCTCCACAGCCTCAAACCCACATAGATCAAAGGAATACCTGCAGGACAACAGCATCAAATATTATATTCACAATCCACTTTTGTAAATACTTACAAACCTACAGAGGTGTGGTGGTAATTTGCTTTACCTGCACCGAGAGGCTGGACCCTTTTCAGTTTGGTCTGAGGTGCTGTTATTGTCCGTTCCAATCCCACTGTCACTGGGAATTGTTTCCTCGCTGTGGGACTCACTGATGGGAGACAGGGTCACCTCCTTTACTGACGCCACCTCAGATAGGTGAGAAGGTGAGTTTGCCAGGAGGCGAGGTGGAGACAGTTTCCACCCTCCAGAGAGGAAACCTCTGCTTGCTGGCTTAGAAGGCAGGGCTGAGATGGGTTGCAAACTGGGCATAGTGGAGTCAGAGTGTGTGGTTCTTACAAATGGAGCTGTAGAGCAAGGAGACAAGGTGTTGGAAGGCACTACAGGGCTCTCATACAAACTGGCTGATGAGAGGGACATGGTTTTGTTGAAGCTTTGGGTTTCTGCTCTTGGTTTTCGCCCTCTCTTCTTACCGATGTAGATTGTTCCTCTCTTGCTAACATTTATCTGTTTTCCCAACCGTGCCTCAATGGTAGAAGCCATTGCACTCATCGCTGAAGTGACTGGGGCTGAGGAGAACTTCAGAGGCAGACTGCCATTCTGACTAGAACTTGAGAGGATCTCATTTAGGATGCTCTGCATTTTTCCAAGCTTCATCTTATTGACTGGCCGGGAAAAGCCTCGACCCCGCTTTAGTTTCAGACTGGTGGGTGTGGATGCCATTTGTGCTAGCGTGTGTGTTTTTGTCCTGCTGTTGAGTCCTGCTGATGTTTTTTGTGAAAGAGGGCTTGGTGGAGATGTTGAGGTGCCCTCGTGGATGGTCTCCACAGTCAGCAGTGGCTGCTTCTTGGGTCGTCCCCGTTTTCTCTTAATGGGTGTGTGGACGGTCAGGCTGTCAGTGTTGGTGTAGAGAGGGCTTGAGGGGGTGATGGGAAAGGTTGAAGGTGGGTCTGTAAGGGTGGATGGGCTACTCCGGTTGTCTCTCTGGAGTGATGTGAGACTGGCATAGCTTTTAGCTTTCAGGTAGGACCACCTGTCGAAGGCCTTGGATGGTCTGCTGCAACTTGCTGTAGAGCTAGTGCTGTGGCTGGGACTTGGATTTAGGGCTACTCTAGGTTTAGGACTCGGACTAGGGCTGATATTTATTCTGGATTTAGGGCTTGGACTAGGGCTGACGTTAAATCTTGGACTAGGGCTAACTCTGGATTTTGGGCTGAGGCTAGGACTGATGTTGCCCTTCAAGCTGGGATTGGGACTAGGGAGTCTGGGGTTCGCATTAAGTGTGGGTTTGTTAATCAGGTTGTGAGAAGATTCTTTGTGTTTAAAGATTTCTGTGCTGACTTTAGGTCGACCCACCGGGTTCTTTTTTATTCTGTTAGCCCTCATAGCTGTCTCCAAGTCAGGTCTGTTTGTAACCACCTCTCCTCGTTCAGCCCTGTCTGCCCTCTCCCCTTTTTCCCTTTTATCACATTTGTCTACTTTTTCTGCCCTTGCTCTACTAATATTAGATTGACTTGTGTGATCATTCTTGTAAGATTCCATCTTATGTGCTACTTTGGGTTCTGGGGGCCCTGGCTGCTGTTGTTCTGTGGTGTCAGATTCTTGTCGTAGCTGCGATTGCTCATCAACAGAAAATGACTCATCAAAAGAAGGCCGTCTTCGCCTCTTTCTTCCTTTTAGCTCCTCTGTAATCGTGTGCATCCCCCGGTCTTCTTCATCTACTCTCTTCGCAGCAATTGTTTGATCTCTTTCCTCTTTGCTTCTTTCCTCTCTTTCTTCATGAAACCGTTCAGTGGTCTCCTCGTGCCTGTACTTCTGCCTCTCTAAATTTGATGGGCTCTCCGGTCCTTTCTCTGCCTGTCTTCCCCATGGTGAATCAGCACAGTGGGGGTTGCTGAGCATCCTCTGGGAGTCCTTCTTGCCATACTTCCTCTTGATGTTCCCAAAAAGCTGTTCACTGACCTCTTGTAAACCCCTACCCCTGTAGCGTTGTATAAAGAAAACATTGAAAGGGAGTATAAAAACAAAGCTAGTGCTAATATTTGCTATTCATGTGTTGATTAAGATATACGTCAGTAAATGGCAAAAGTATTTTTATTTTATTTTAATTATTTTATAAGGCATTTACTCATTATTGCATGCAATATTTGCAGGACTTCTTTGGAAGAACACATGGAAGAAAGAATAAATGAACAGTACCTGCTCAGAGAGGTCAGGTTGAGAATACTGGCATCGGTAACCACTGGCAACTGCAGGTCTGGAGTTAAGGATCGCTGAGGTGAGGGGCTTTGTGACGCAGTTCGTAAGAAAGGTTGACTGGAATCAAGCAAACTGTTCCTACTCGTCCCTGACAGTTCTCTGGATGCCTCGGAATCTGCTGGATTTGCTGCGGTTGCAGACGGTGCTGCAGTTGTAATCCAGTCTGAAGTGATTTGGTGTTGTTGCTGGAATGGTTGCATGAGAGCTTGTTGTGTTTGCTGTGTGAGAGAGAGCGTGTGTGCGGGAAGGAGGGAGCCACGAAGCTGGTGTTTGGGTGGAGTGTGATCTCCCAGTAGTTGCAGCAGGCCTCCTTCTTTCTGCTCAGGCATTCTGTACTGGCGCTCGTATGTCTAGAGAGAAGAGAAAAAAAGAGACTGATTACTAAACACACCCCACAATCACAAGACAAGCATTATATAGCTGCAGCGATAGATAAATGATATGATAATGTGGTCATTACACTATGTATCTATGACTATTCCATTTCCTGTCTACACTGCATCCTAAGACAGTACGGAACAAAATAAAAGGCTTGTTTACAGAGCAATTAAATTCCTGTGGCAAGGATGTTGCACGCTGTGAGAGCTAGGGGGATGGAGTCAGGGGAGGTTGACTGCACACAGTATTAAACAACACAGCTTAGTCCAGTTACATATGCTGACATTTTTTATACAATATACTTTCACATTCTAAAATTCATACTCATTATCTTTGTCCAGTAAAAAGCCACAGCATGAAGTCAACCCTTAATCAGTTCCATGTTTTCATTTGTCCAGAAAAAACACAAACAACACACACACTTGATGTACTGTTCCTCACAACGTAAACCTGCTAAATGCATCACTGCTGCTTAATCACTGTACTGCTCGAGGATGAGAAATAGAGCAGCGGATGGCCTTTGTGGTTTAGCCTGTTATTAACAGGCTCAGTGTGATGCAACAAGACACTGTTCTGCTGCACTGCAGGGAGATGTAACCTAACTGCAGGCTTGCCTCTCAGCATGTACACACAGGAATGTGAGCGCACACACTCAGATGCTGCTATTTCTGAAGTGTTAAAAAATCCTGCCAGCACACGTAACAGCACAATATGTTTATATATCCGCATATACATGCCGTCACAGGCATACGTTTCTACATGGGTTGATGTCCGCTAAATAGACTAACAACCCATTTTGGTTGTTATTTAGTGTGTTGATGAAAACAACAAAAAACATTTTTTTGTTTGTTTTTCTTGTATTTGCAGGTCATGTTATTACTTTCTTGGAAATTGGGTTTTGAACTTAAACTCACAAATACCTTTTCTGTCATTTCTATCTCCTTTCAGCCTGCTTCCTAACCAGCCTCGCTTCAGCCTCACTCTCTTTCTGCTGCTCCATCTGTAGCCAGCAGTAACGCTCATTTTGTGCTTCCACACTGGCACCAGAAGCCATTTATCAGCCTGACACAAGCTGCAAATGCTCACAAGCACAAAAACACACATGAATGCTGAGTAACACAGAGATGGAAACATGCACTCAGACAAACACTGGAGCAGCTTAAATGATGAACATGAACAGAAAATAAATGTGTTTATTAACATCAGGTGTCATTTATTTCCAAAGAGCAGTCAAATACATGCAGTGACACCGGAGAAGTGACAACGTGAGTTTTCGAAGGGATAAGATAACAGAAACCTGATACACACCTGCTTTCTCAGTTAACCTGTCCTAGAATACCTGCTGTTCCAGGTTAAAGGAGGGCATAGAGACAGAGACAGACAGGATGGTGGTGGTTATTGCAGGGAGACAGACAGACACCCTCAAATATATAAAACGTATCCTCCCCACTTGCCGCAAAGCAACCGCAAAGAGATAATACAGAGAAGACGCATAGTTAGTAGAGCGACAGAAAAGAACAGAGATAGGGAGCTCACTGCCCCCCTCCCTTTCCAGTTGAGGTTGGGTTATTGGCACCAGTTCAGCTTTTTGTTCTCTGTTTCCTCCCTTCTACCACCCTTTCCTCTCCTCCCTCTCCATTTCTCGATGCCTCTCACATTCAAGGGAGTGTACACTCACTGTCTGATACTCACATAAATAGAACGGCCACAGTTTTAACACAACAAAACCACTAGGCGTCGTTTAAAGTAGGGTTATATGATAAATTATTTGCCTTTTCAGAACACGAAGAACCGTGTTCACCCACCCTGTTTAACAACTAGTCCCCTTAATTTATGATGTAAACAGTGCATTTAGCCACTGCTGTGGATGTGATCATCATTTTTACTTAAAACTAAACTGTGAATGTATGCAGAAATTCCCAGGTGCTTTGACACAAAGTTGAAGCACTTGGGAATCCATGCCGCCGTTCTCAGCATTGTCTCCTTAACCCTATATTGCCAAACGTATCATATTTAATACATGAGTTTACAGCCCTCCACATGAGCAGTGTGATATTTTTTTCCCTGAAAAACCAGACGTATACAAACGTCATGCAGTGCACAGATAATTCAACAGGGAATAGCAATTCACTTATTAGCAGGCCTTCCAGTGACACTACAAGATTGCTATGACTCAGGATTTGGACACAGGTGGTTTCTGAACAAGAACTTTGCCAAGTTTGAAAAGGTAAAGAGAAGAAAAACAAAAAAAATTACTGAAACATCAATAGGAATAGTTACTGGGTTGATGCAATGGGAAAATACTTAAAATTTCATAATCTATGTTTTAATAAAACCGTGTTGAAAATGACGTATCAAATTTGATACAGCAGGTATATAAGATCATGTAACTCTAAATCAGTCAATTGTCATTTTATTGTATTTCATGCATTATGTATAACATTTTTTATTTTTAAATAACATAATTTGGTACATTTAGAGTAAAAGAAATATGTAACTTGCTGCATCATATTATATATTAATATCTTATTACATATATTATTTATATATAATATATATATTATATACTATATATATAATATACGTATATATAAGGTGGAGGAAAAGGTTTACAGGATGGTTGTGAGACCAGCCATGTGTATGGTTTAGAGACACTAGCAATAGGCAGAAGACAGGAGGAGGAGCTGGAAGTGGCAGAGTTAAAGATGCTAAGATTCTCTTTAGGAGTGACAAGGATGGACAGGATCAGGAATGAGGTCATTAGAGGGAGGGACATGGAGGGACAGTGGATACATTGGTAGAAGAATGCTAGAGATGGAGCTACCAGGTAGGAGATAAAGAGGAGATTTATGGATGCAGTGAGGAAGGACATGCAGATAGTTGGAGTCAGAGTAGAAGATGCAGAGAACAGGGAGAGATGGAAAACAATGATTCAATATATACGTAATATATATGTAACTCTAAATCAGTCATTTTATTGTATTTCCTGCGTTATATATATTCACAAGTCTTTTTATTTTTAAATTACAAAATTTGGTGCATTTAGAGTAAAAACCTAGATATGTAACTTGCTGTAACTTATTATATATTAATATATAATATATATATATAAATATATATATCATATATATGTAAATATAATATATATATAATATAAATATATATAATATGTTTTCCAGACTTCCACCCAGCCAGTTCCATTGGTGGATTTCTCATTACTGCATTATGGTAGCACCGGTGTATCAAATATGATATAAATTGAAACTCATATATGGAAAATTATATTTTAATTTTTTTTGTTTGTTTGTTCAGAGGGACCAATAAAGGGTCCAAGTTCAAAGAATTGGAATTTTCTGTCAATTATTTAATTGTTTGGGCTTTACAGGGTTAATTAGGAACATTACTTTATTTTACTCTGCAAAGCAAAACAAATAACTTTGCAAAACTTGAAGAAAATACCTGTCAAGTGATTAAAAACTCCTGCTCCTAAAAGCCAGAAAAAGCTAAATAACAGACTTCGGTAGTTAAGAGACATTTTGGAAGAGTTTCAGGCAAAGTCTCTTGATGAATCCCAGACCATTTGGATTTGGAAAATCATTTAACTACTCTTGAGGATAACCAGCATAAGCTGGTCTTCGGTTTGCTTCGAAGATTCTCTTTGGGATTTTAGTTATGACTTTTCACAGGTCAGTAACTTAGAAATTCTTTTGTTTTTGTTTTGTTTCAAATAGAACACAATAGGTCACAAATCAATTTTACTCTATTGTTACTGCTCACTTACTGCAATTTTCCTGTACTCCTGCTGCCCTGCAGCAGGGGGCAGTGATTGGGAGATCCACTCCATCAGGGACTCTACCCCAGGAGCAACCGGTAAGCACAAGAGCAGATCTTTTTAACACTGTCCTCTGTCCTATCACATCAAATATAGATAAGAAGCACAGAACAAATCTAAAGATGGTTTAGCCCTCAACCCATTTGATTCAGTTCAGTTCCCCCGAGGCATTGAGGGCTCTATTCTGAGGTTAATGGTCGAGCTCTACAACTCAGTCAACAACAATTTCTTGGATGTCTTCCTCTCAGCCCGCACTGTAACAACATAGACTTGTCCCAGTCACTTACACAAAGGCTTCTCCACAGGCAGATATGGAGCTGCACATTCCATTCCCCTGATGATGTAACCACCAGATAAGGTCACAGAACAGCAGAGGGGGTCATGGGTAATATGTGACTAAGTGCTGCAACCACCAGCTGAAATAAACTTGGCCGGTGAGTCAGCATATATACGGTATTCACAGTGTGAATGTGTGTCTAAACGTGCCATTTACTCTCAGCAGGGTGGTTTAAATCTAGATTTGAAAGTCAACGGTTTTACTCCTCAGTTCTCCAGGGGTGATGAGGTATGTGATGGCTTTTCATTTTTCCACCATTGAATAAACTGAGGCTCAGAGATTTTCTCCCCCACACCCACATAGGCATGCACTGAGCACCCTGGCTGTACCATTACACTGGGAAAGAACACCCTGAACAGGCACACCAAAATCTCACAACCCAGTGTACACGTACACGTACACACACACACTCACACTGCACACACAAACACATAAACACACACACTAAAACACATTTTTCGCAGTCTTTTATTTGGCAGCACGCCCGGTGGTTAGAGTGTTTCATTTTTTCATGTGTATGGAACTGGGCAGCTGTCCAGACAGACACACAAAGAAAGAGAGAGAGAGGCAGATAAAGACTTGGAGAAAGAGAGACAGAGAGACAGAGAGGAGGAGTGGAGGGGTTACTGAGAGAATGAGAGCAGCAGAGGAGGGAAGAAGAGGACCAGCAGGAAAACAAGAAGAGAATTGCCTAGACCCGTTTACAACTAACACTTTCTGAAATGTTATGACTAACTGATATGATCCTCTCTCTCTCTGTCTCTCTCTTGCTCTCTCACACAAACACTTGTTATTTATCTCCT